CGAGCCGTTTGTATCTCGAAAATTTGTATGTCGAGCCGTTCGTATCTCGAAAATGTGTATGTCGAGCCGTTTGTATCTCGAAAATTTGTATGTCGAGCCGTTCGTATCTCGAAAATGTGTATGTCGAGCCGTTTGTATCTCGAAAATTTGTATGTCGAGCCGTTCGTATCTCGAAAATTCGTATGTCGAGCCGTTCGTATCTCGGAGGTCCATTGTACTGGCAGCGAGATAAAGTCAGCCCCCTCCACAGTGACCACACTTACGCTGCATACATATGATACATATGTATATAGCACTGACCGGTGTTATATATATATATATACGTGCTGTAGTGTACACATGGTGGGTGTGTACTTGATCTCGCTGCCACTGCCAGTGGATACACTGATGTAACACAACACAACTTGCGCAGGGCACCCTACTCTTGTAATGGGTTGTATTATTGCATCTAGGTTACACTGTACCCCAATTCTATATAGGGACATAAGTTCATACTTATTACTTAGTAGTTCGATGTGTGTTGTTGGCTCACCTTGACATCGTCAAGATGAGCTATTGCCATGGATCGTCCAGGGTCAGATCTAGGTTTTAAACTAAGGGGGGTATACCTGAGGTGATTGGCCTACACACCCCAGCGTGCCGAAGGCCGAAGGCCGAAGGCACGCTTTGGTAGGGGGGTCCGGGGCAGCCCCAAGGGGGGGTTTAACCCCCCCTCGTAGATCCGCTACTGTCGTCGTACGTCCGTCCTTCCGTCCGTCAACATTTGGCTACTGTCAACGATAACTCCGGAACCGTTTGACCCACATGTTTGAAATTGGGTATAGTTGTTACTGCTAGGGGAGAGGTTTGAACGCCCGATTTTGGAGCACGCCAGTCGACGTACTTTCGAGCCATGCCAATTTTTTGGCAAAAATGGAAATTGCCATTAGTCAGTTCAGGTTCAATGGATTTTGCTCATTTTTGGTATGTGAATGAATAAGGGCTGGCCCCAAAACGTATTACAGGGGTTTTGATATTTAAAAAAAAATTATGCAAATTAGGTAGGTTTTGGCAATTATATAGCATATTATATAGACACGCAGATAACAGTCTGTGGTGTCACACTCGTCTGGTTCGTTTTACAAGATTTTATTGAGAATATCTTTAATGCAAAATTGGTATTTCATCTCCACCCTGCCGATAAAACGTCTATATTAGAATAAAGTTTTACAACACATGTCGGAACGCAGCATAACCTATTTATTTCGAACGCCATCGCTAAGAAACATCAAAGCGGGTATAGCGCCATCTACCGTCACAAATTGTGATTCATTTTGGTTTATAAATTATTATTGCGATATACAGATGGCAACCATACCATCATTTAGGTGTAACGCCATCACTCGCCCACATCTCAGACTTTCACATCTTAAACATTTATTTTCACAAAAAATTACACATATAATTATCAAGAGTATATAATGGGAGTTCTCCCATATATACTCTTCGTTTCTATAATGTACGTCGATGGTTGCTCAATTAAAACTGACTTCTTCTCACTCACTCATTTGTGTCCTTTTTTGTCATTGACACTTTCATTTTGAATAGTCTCATTCTTTGTTGGAATTAATTTTCAATTTACTAGGTGGCACGGTGACATCATGGAAATGCTGTGGAGAAGAGATGCTTTTCTTGAGGTACATTTTCTAATGTGTGGAATACTGCTTCTTTTATTGCATCCTCATGCTCTGTTTCCTTTGCCTTTACTCGGGACATTCATGGTGCATTTTAAACTTGATTCTTGCAGCTCGTATGTAGTTGCAATATGCTACAATGAAATCGTTAGTTATAGTGATGAATCTACTGGTATCTAAATTCATAATTTCTACCTTATTTTTATAGCAAAAATGCGCTGTTTGACAACAAGAAAGGAATCCGAGGTGGCATTCCGATCGTGTTCCGTAAGTAGTACTTGCTGGCATTGCTGAAGGCATACATGTGCTTTACTGCAATAATGAATTCACTTCCACCAGTCATGGTGGCATATGTTCCTGATCACACTACTCTGAAGTGCGCTGTGCACTTTTGACCTGATTCGATCTAATTGTCACCAATCGGAGGATGTCGTGTTACAGCAAGCTGTTGTTTTGAACTCATTCTTTGTCTTTTTTCTGCATAAATTACCACCAAAATCCCCTCTAACCATTGTAGGTGGCACCACAGGCCACAGCCCAGGCTGTAATTACTTATGGGAACAATCACATCCCGTCTATATACTTTGCTGCAATTAGAAAACCCTAAGTAGGTCTCACATACTCACTGCAATGTCTGTACATGTATATACATGTCTAACAATAATTCGTATTCGTTTACATTTATACTCGTGCATAAAGAGAGCATGGTATCATCCATCGTGTGTCACAGGTGAAGGTGATTACAATGTTACTTTCATTCTGTAGCGCATTTTGGTCCTTGGCCGATCGGGCCGCAGCATGGTTTTGCTCGGATACAGATGTGGGAAGTGGAACAGCTTCCATCTGTTGATGTCAGCGGCAATGTAGTCGCCATCATTGCTCTGGTCGACAATGCCGAAACAAGAAAAATTTGGGATTTCAAGTAACTTTTTTCAATTGGTTTTGTGATCGTTTCTCAAATACACACATATAGACAATTTGGGTCTCATCTAGTAGCGGATATATTGTTGATTACTCCAGCATAAAAATTACATTAAGTTTGTGTTGTTATAGGCTATAAATCAGCAAATGAATAGTAAACTTTCCCAATTCATTCCTGTAATTTCCATGAATGGTATCTGAAGTGTGGGACCAGAAATACAGGTGCATATATTTTTCTGCAATATGAAAATTTTTACCTTTTAGTTGTACCAGAGTTCATGGAATATGTAAAACAAACATACTAAATCTTACACTTCACAATTACATACACATTATACTTAATTTAATAATTAAATGTTTATATTAATAGATCTTTTTATGCATAAACTACTACAACAATACAAGTGATGTTACCATTATGTCTTTGATATGGAGAAATCCACTTATTTCTCAGATTCAAGTTAAGAATGACTCTGACACTGCTGAAATGCTGCTTCTCCATGGATTTGCACGTCACTAATACAGGTAAAATAATGTGAGCATTATTTAAATTGTTAAATTTATATGTAATGTTGGTTCCCAACCAAGTAAACAAATTGGTATTACATCGATCAGTTGTTCCAACTTAATTTTTAGCTCAGCTGACGAAGTCAGATGCAGCTTGTAGAATCGCATGAATGTCCATAAACAAATTGGTATTACATCGATCAGTTGTTCCAACTTAATTTTTAGCTCAGCTGACGAAGTCAGATGCAGCTTGTAGAATCGCATGAATGTCCGTCCGTCCGTGTGTTAACAGCTATGGCACAAAGCCGCTTGATGTGCGGTCTTGATATTTTGGATGTCGGGGGGGATCGCGAAAAGGACTGGGGATGTCGAATTTGGGGGGTCAAGCGTCAAAGGTCAATACGGAATTGCACCACAAATCTCAACGGCTTGACCTACGCTCTTAATATTCGATGTATAGTGTGATGGGGAGGAAACCGGTCACAGGTCAAAGGGCAGTGGAGGAAAGGTCAGATATCAGACATTTTCTGAGGACATGGTCTAACGCAGCATGTCAATATAGTGAAGTCATTTAAGTTACACAGCTGTATCTTTATTACTGTACTACCGGTATAGCAAAGCCTATCATATATTTTAGATCTGTATTAGTAGTATCCTAGATATATGCTCTGAGCGTGAACGCGGTGGCGGGAGGGCGCACTTGATTCGGTTGCCAGTGAGTTTATCAGAAGAATATCCGGCTACAGTACACGTCAGTTGAGCGCTGTCGCTCTGCGGCACTTGTTATTGTAGTGTGTAAAAGGCGTTTAGTCTGTCATTTACGAACTCTTATTGCATCCCATTTTAGTCTGGAACCCCAGCCCCCAATGACTGATGGCGCTCTGCTAGCAGTTGGCACAGTGGACATGTTCATGTTTTTGGCATTGCTTTTCTGCTCGCACACAAATAAATGTTTTTTTGCCAGCATGGTCCCCGTAATGTACACGTACCTGCATCACTGGTTAATGTTACAAGACTGAGGAGCAGGTGAAAGCACATACATGTCCGACTTAATCCATTTAATTTCTTTCCTAATTGATTTTTCTCGTGTAATATGTCTCTGTTTGAGGTTGGACTCTGTTTTCCTGTTTTATTTATGATCTGTTCTGGTGCTATGCGATAAGACATTGCTGTGAGCCATTTCTATGTTAAAGACATACTAGGCCCATTGATTATGCAATGTTACGACGATACTAGTAACTGGCACCTTGTGTAGTTAATAAGCACATAACCTTATAGCCAAACCTGTATTAGTTTGTCCAATATCACTGCTGGTTACATTACAAACAAGACTTGAAATCGGTTGTTGATATGTATCAACGTATCTTTACGTGCCGTAAATGTCATCAGGAGTCAAGCGATGACGTAACAATTGTGCGGCCCGTACGTTTTTGGATGCTAGATGAAACGGAGGTGTCAGCGGTGTAACCACGGCCACGGACTAAACATGGAGATGGAGATGGAGATGGCAATGGACACACGTTACCCGTATTAATCACGGACGCACGTGGACAGCCCTGACAAAAATTTCCTTATCACGAGCGTCCATGTTTACGAAATCACTGATGATAGCATTGCGTATGGCCGAGCATGCGTGCGAAAATGTCCGGTGCACTATAAATCTGTACGTATCACATCCGCTTCGCCGGCAGCGGTTTGAAACTGTGAACAACCGATTTTTGGACTGCGGATTTCAATTAGACATTTCTTAGTAACCAGCAGTGATATTGGACAAACTAATGAGTAACACAGGGGTGGCAGACTTTGATGACCTGAGGGTCTTTCGCCACCCCAGTGCTATATCTATCACATTATGTATTGTGACCTTTCATTCTAATATGTATCGTTGTATACTGAATGTAAATATGTCTTATGCACAAATAAATTATTTGAATCTTAATAAGCGTTTGGATGTAAGGTTATGTACTTATTAACTACACAAGGTGCCAGTTACTCTAGAATTCGTCAACATTGCATAATCGATGGGCCTAGTATGCCTTTAATATGCAGTGTTTCCCCTGGCCAAAAAGGTCAGCAAAGTGGTGAAAATGTTTTTGGTGGTTGTGCAATCCGAGAAGCGAGCAATGCGAGCACCAAAGGTGATCGCCGTGCTAGGGGGGGTCCGGGGGGGACGCTCCCCCAGAAAATTATTAAAGACTGAAAGAAATGGTGCGATTTGGTGCATTCTAAGCTATTCAGAACACATTATATGAGACTCTTTAATCACTTTTTTAAGTTGTCAAAAGGAACAAACGAACTTCTGGGAAAGGTTTTACTTTCGTTTTTCTCCTCCCCAGTCCTCGGTACCCCCATGCATAGGTCAATGCTGCCGCATATCCGCAATGTTACAAGTGCCTAGAATCTTGAAGTATATACAGTTTACATTGCTTCTAGATATCTAACTGAATAAAAATAGTCGACTTTCTACTTAAAAAAAAAATAAAAGTGCCAAATTCAGTTAATAGCTTTGATTACGTGCGTGTCAGGTGTCACTGGTCGTGCCCTCACTTCCCACGATAACCCCTGCGACATATGAACTTATGCGGTCATAAAAACACTGGTCTACGCTACAGGCCGCAATCGATTTCCTAGACTGTCACGAGGTTTTGTTCGTGTGGCGAATCGTGTTGAGGGAGTTCATGCCCTCGGCTCTAGATGTTTTGGATATCTCGTCTACATTCAGGAACGGAGCTTATTAGAAAGCGCTCCCGTTTACAAGTCTGTCTAAACTGCCGTTGCGATAACCGTAGTATTTCAGCGTAATATGAGGGGAAAAAGTGCCGGTCAGGAGGACCGGCAGTTTCGTAGAGATGGTGGCCGAAGCAAAAACTTGGTGGCCTTGGGCCTCCGGGTCGGTACTAATTTCGAACGCTGTCAATGAAGTGTAGTTTATTGATGGAAGAACAGTGATTTTCGTCAGCGAGGCGGTGTTTTTGGATAAATGTCTGCGTGGCGGGTACGATTTGAGCGAGGCGGCCGCCTCGCTCGTGTCAATGCAGGGGAAACACTGAATATGTGTTAACGCACATTCCGTTGCTCTATATTTGTCCACCAGGTGACGCTGAGTTCAACTTTACCACACTGATCCATACATACTTCAGGCTGCCAGATGTAACCAAGAGCAGAGTACTAGGTCTCACAGGATGCAAATATTTTGACAAGGTTTGTGCAGTCAAACCTGTGTTAGCTGCCATAAAAAATCCCTCACATAAAATGGCTGTATTACAAACACTGTAGAGAGGGGTCACGTGCTTAATGAGGCCAGCAATCACCGTGTTTGTTATCTCTATAGTGGGCTCTAACTGTACAGAGTGGCCATTTTCCATATATATGCTTTTTGTTATCAACACCTAATCTGCACTGACTTGGCAGGCTCTTAAAGCCATTATTTCAAAATCATTGCACAAAAACGCACAATCTGAGAAACATATAGCGAAATATAGTATGTTAGGATAGTAGATTTATAAATAATAGCATATACCTACTAATTTCTATAATTACGCATTCACGTTTGTCATAAAACAATATTGAATTTCGAAATCTTCAATTTTGGGCACTGATGTGACACCCACGATCGTGCTGCCACCCTGATATTGCAATCCTTCTGCTCTTAAATTCATAAATAAGAAACCCTCGGTCTGTAGCCTGCAGCTGAAACGTTGCTTTGCGCAACTTTTTCAGTGAATGCGCTGGCAGTGGCGTCACCGTCGTTGTAAGCAACGGTATAGCCATCAGTTGGAAAACGTTTTTTTTTTTTCTAATAAATATTGAACCATAAAACATTTTATGTAGCGTAATTTCAACCTATTTTAATTGAAAATATCTAAAGAACCCAGAGTAATGTATCCCTTTAAAGGGATATTAGACTCTAGGATTTTACTGCATACAACTGTACTTACTGTATAACAAATCGTCTATACCCACATGTATACTTGTTACCAGATACCTAATTTAATTGTTATAATTAATTATACATCAACGCTACGAAATTTGAACGGCGCCATTGACACCCGCGACCGTGCTGCCACCCTGAAAAAGTTGCGCATTTCCCAATATATTTTGCACGTTACAGACCGAGGGCTAATCACAAAGGTGCAATTATATTTATACCTAAATGCTATTTAACCGAACGATGTTAATTTTAGGACAAATTTATCCATAATATAACTGAAACTATATGTCGTTTATAAGATATTACAATCCTTTTGCTTTTAAATTAATAAATAAGAAATACCCTCGGTCTGTAGCCCTTGGCTGAAAAGTCGTTTTGCACAACTTTTCAGATCGTGCGCTTTGAGTGGCGCCACCGTCGTTGTAATCAAACTGTAGTCGATAGTTTTAAAACATTTAAAAAAAAAGCTTGCTAATGATGACTGAACCATAAAACTTTTTATGTAGCGTAATTTTAACCTAAATTAACTGAAAATAACCCTAGAACTAGAGTAAAGGATCCCTTTAAATTGGCTGATATCTTGCACTATCAGGAGATAGTCCAAAATATGCAAAAAATAGCAGTGGTGATCAAAACAAGTAATCAAAACTCGAATCCTGCATGTTTTGGTGAATATAGCCATGTACAAAGGTTCTAAGACATGTTAACGTCACTATAGACAGTTGCTGTTACTCAAGCAATAACGGTATAAGTATCGTATGAGTGGAGAAAACACGAGACTGGTTAGAAATTAGTTTTTCGAAATACTTAAAAGTCTTTAAAGGGACAAATGACCCTAGGTTGCTTGCAGTTAAAATAGGTTTAATTTATGCTAAATAAAAAATTCCATTGTTGAATTGAATATTGATTGGAAATATTTTTAAAAGTGTTTTAAAACTGACAGCTATGCTGTTTGCTTACAACGACGGTGGCGCCACTACAAGTTCGTCCACTGACAAAGTAATGCAACTTTGTAGCTGCAAGCTACGTACAGACTGAGGGTGTTTCTTATGTATTATTTTAAGAGGAAAATGATTGCAATATCTTATAAACCATTCTTAGTTTAAGTTATAATATGGACGAATTTATCCATAATCTAAACCTTGTTTTGAAACAGACTACTGGTCAAGATATTCAGTCCGAAACAAGGGAACAGCTTTCTGTAGACCGCAACATCGACAAGTGAGTCTGAAAACTCACTGCAATCCCATGCTTAATTTCCCTTCACTTCATTATTATATCTAAAGAATAAATACTACTCATTGCAGACATATAATTATGTATAAGACAAATATACGTTGTTTCGAAATTTTAATTGGCAGCTTCAATGTTTTATATAATGATTATGTTATTCTAATGCTGAAATATGCACATTTCTCACGCAGTATCTATGCGAATGTTCCTGATGAGTTGACATTGACTGGTGGCCCAGCAGGTCGGACAATAAAAATCACCAAGAAGGGCTTCCCAGACACAGGTGCGTTTTCCAGGCGTCTAATTTTGACAGCGCTCCATCGATTTCCATGCTCTCTCTACGCTGAGCAGATGTGCATACACACAGTGTATGTAGCTTGGCGAAGGTATTCGCCCTTCACTCGCCCTTCACCAGCCTTTACCCTCGCCCTTCACACGCCCTTCACTCGCCCTTCACACGCCCTTCACTCGTCCTTCACTAACTCTTCACTTGTCCCTCACACGCCCTTCACTCGCCCTTCACTCGCCCTTCACTCGCCCTTCACTCGCCCTTCACTAACTCTTCACTTGCCCCTCACTCGTCCTTCACTCGCCCTTCACTCGCCCTTCACTCGCCCTTCACTAACTCTTCACTTGCCCCTCA